GGCCAAAGGGCAGCAGGGGCTCAGCGGGCCGCCCCTGCCCCGAGCCGCTCACAAGGGCCCCCGGGCCCCCTTCTTCGTAGGCCGACAAGGCATCCACCCGCCTGAAGCAGCTCAAGCGGCAGCTGGAGGAGGCGGAGGAGGAGGTGCAGCGGGCCAACGCCTCCCGCAGGAAACTGCAGCGTGAGCTGGAGGACGCCACCGAGACCGCAGACGCCATGAACCGCGAGGTCAGCTCCCTCAAGAACAAGCTCAGGTGAGTGCGTGGGGTGGGGCGCGGCGCAGGGGAGGTGTGTACGGCTTGGAAGCCCTGAGGAGCAGCTGGTGTGTGTGTTCTGAGAAACACAACCCTGGGCCCCCGTGACTCGGCCAGCAGCCAGTGAGCATGCGGTCGGACATGGAGCCGTCTGGGGCCGACACCCAGCTTTTGAATAAGACAGTGAAGTCTCTTGGTAACGGATTCTCTATAGCCTGGCAGCTGTGGGACTTGGGCTGGGATGCTGAGCACCAGCCTCTATAGGAAGAAGATGAGACCGGCCACCCCCAGGAGGATTTGCAGCCTCAGAACTGCCCCTACCCCCCCATTAGGGAGCAGTGAGTCACAGTCCACCGTTCTTGGAGGGGCTTGTGCGGTTAGAGGGGTTGGCCCCTGGTATAGCCTGCGACGCCTGTCCAAACTGGAGCCGCTGACGGAATGGCCATGGGCAGGGGCCCTGAGAGGCAGCAGGGCAGGGCAGGCCTTTTTCTCCCGAGTCTCATTTCTGACCTCATTTGCCCAAGAGTCTCTTATGTTTTGTTTTTTTTTTAGCATAAAGCAACAAGACCAGGCTCAGTGGTCAGTATTTCATGTCGGTCCGTGTGCACTGCCCCGCGCCGGGTGCCCTGTGGTGGGGTCCGGCTGAGCAAAGGCGGCATGTTGCTGGGGCGCTCTGTAGCCTGCAGCTCCCCCCCCTGCAGTTCAGTCCTGTATCTGATGCTGGTGTTGTGTGTGACAACGTCTGGTCCCTGCTCTCCCGGGAGCCCTCTGCCCGAAGGGAGGCAGCCCGTTTCTGTGCGAACCCGCTGTGCCATGTGGGAGCTATGCCATGTGCCTGTCCCCAACCCAGCCCAGCCTCCTGACCCTCGGCCTCTGCTCTTCCAGGCGCGGGGACTTGCCCTTTGTCGTGCCCCGCCGAATGGTCCGGAAAGGGACCGGTGAATGCTCGGACGAAGAGGTGGACGGCAAGGCGGACGGGGCAGAGGCCAAAGCTGCCGAATAAGCGTCTCCTCTCCCTCCCTGATGGACGGACAGACAACTCCACCTCCCCTTCCTAGCCCCGCAGCATCCCCTCCCACTCTCCGGAGACAGCTGTGACCGGGCCCCCGGCCCCCTGCCCAGCCAAGAGATCTCTGGCCCACAGATGTCCCCCCGCCCCGCCCAGGGCACCTGGCTTATTCCTCTGCTTCAGCCCCTTCAGGTCGCCTCCTGTCCCTCCTCCTAGAATCTGATACCAAAGAGTCAGCATTCAGGCCCAGCCAGCGAGGGTGAGCAGCGGGCTTGCCAGCCCCTTCTCGCCAGGAGGCAGAGGGGCCAGTGGAGGCC